ACAATAGCAATATGAGACCAATTCTTCAAAATCATGATTTTAATTCACAAGTTTACCACCAAAACACCTTGTTTCATGATTAAACTTCAATGTACATATAACAGAACTCCATAACTTCATGGATCATGAATGCATGTGTATTATAGATCTCAATATCATTTCAAATGGCACAAATGATGCCCATTCTCATGAAACTCAACAAAACCATGCTTGCATATATGATTCAACACTCAATTTATCACATTCAACTTCTTACATGCTTGATTATGCAATTTCATGGCAATTCTATGCATGCATGCTCAATATAACTTCACATATAACTTAATTCACACTTTTGTTTACAATCTAGCTTCAAATTCTCAAAATTACAATTACAATTTGTGAATCAATGCTCAAATACTCACCTTGGAGTTCCAAGCTTCCCATTTCTAGCTAATTATTGGAGTTAAGTTTCCAAATTCACAAATTTGAGCCAAGATACACAATTCTCCCTCTTCCTTTCTCTAGAACCGGCCTCTCTTTCTCTCTAGAGTGTATAACCGGATTTAAGTTCATCAAAAATGAAGAGTTAAGTGTAATAAGGCCCTTATATAGTCCTTCTCTTGATCCAATTTGATTATAGTTAATTAATAGCAGTAGACACCCCATTTTTGACCGTCCTCAAGACTTGGACGTCATCGCTTGAACACTCGGTGATCATCCATGTTTTGTGTTCGTCTTGAGTTCCTGGAGGCCTCGGCTATGCGCCTTGCCTCAGGATCTCTCAACTCGACCGTTTTGTGTCTGATTTTGCACCAAACACTTGTGTTTTTGCTTTGGAGGGCAGGGAATGGCTTTTGGGACATCCCCACACTCCACCAGCCATGGCTTGAGGCCACCGGCTGTGTTTTGTTGCCATCGGCCAAATGTGATGGCCGGCCGGCCAGATGTGGTTTTCAACAGATATTTCTGCAGACAGCTGGCAGCTGTCATTCCAGGCCATACCCCAGCCCATGCCTGGACATGGGAGCTCTGAGGAGCTGCAGATTGATATATCTCTATATCAATCAAGCTCTCTCAAAAAAAAAAAAAGAGATATACAAGAGGAAGAGGAGGAGATATACAAAAAGAGGAGCAAAAATCTCCCTCTCTCTACATTTTTCTGCCTCTCTTTCTAAGGTTTAGGGCTTGTTTGTGCTCAAAAGTGCATTTTCTTTGCACTTTTGCATACAAACACCTAGTTCTCTACTCCCTTTATTGTGCTGAGGTCCTTGAAGGTGATTTTTGGGGTGATTTGAAGCCTTTTCTTGGTCCAAAAGTTGCTGATTTGCTGCTGTGCTTCAAGGGTGAGCTTTTACCTCTTTTAAGCCTTGTTTTCATAGCTTGTTTTGAGAATATATTCAATTGTATTTTGATAATATCTTGTAATTATATACAATGAATGGAAACATATAATTATATATTTTTGTGATATTTGGATAGAAATCGATATTGTATATCACATGCTCATTACAAAGTTTTTGATTGCATATACACTCGCCCCCTCGACATTAGAATCCTGCGTCCTTCCCTGGACGGACTAATATTTATGTGACATGTGTACTTCTTAATGTTAACAAATTTTAAAAGAATTAAGAAACTTAGATTAATGGTTTGGAACTCATAGTCTTTATTAAAGGATAATTAGAGTTTTTTTCTGTTTTTTTTAGTTTTTATTATTGGTTAACCAATAGAAAGTTTTTTTAGTTATTTAAAATTATAAAAAATTAAGAAAATTAGTTTGAAGTTTTGGAGCTCACAAGACTCCTACAAGTATATAAAAAATAAATTGAATAGAAATCTAAAATATAAATCAAAAAATTTTAAAAGTTAAACGCTTAATTATATACCTCCATTAATTGAAATTCAAAACCACATATATTCATATAAATGGCACTCAAAATCATATCGAACACAGAATCGCAATCATAATCAGGATTAATTAGCATAACACGGACCAGGGTTATCACAGTGTATTTCCTAAAGACGAAGAATGAGGTATTCCAGCATTTTCAGGAGTTCCATGTAATGATGGAAAGAGAGACTGGGAAGAAGTTGAAGTGTCTTCGCACAGATAATGGTGGCGAGTGCATTTCCAATGCTTTGAAGCATATTGTGCTAGCAGAGGTATCTGGCACGAGACAATTGTTCCCGGCACCCCACAACACAATGGTGTGGCAGAAAGGATGAACCGCACTATTATTGAAAGAGTCAGATGTATGCTCGGATGGCAAAGTTGCCAAAGTCATTTTGGGTTGAAGCCGCCTGTACAGCCTGTTATCTCATCAACAGGTTGCCTTCAGTCCTGTTGAATTTTGCTATACCTGAGGAAGTCTGGTCCAGAAGACCGGTATCATATTCTCACTTGAGAGTGTTCGAGTGTAAGGCGTTCGCATATATCTCCAAGGAAAACACACATAAGCTTGATGAAAGGTCCACTCGATGCATATTTGTGGGCTATTCAGATGCAGCATTTGGGTACAAGTTGTGGGACTTAGTGAGCAAGAAGAAGTTCAGGAGCAGAGATGTTGTGTTCTAGGAAGACCAAACAGTAACAGATTTTGAGAAGTCTACAAAGTCTAGCGATGTCATCACTCCAGACTTGTTCCCATCTCCTAAGCCATCACAAAATGCTAGATGTGATGATGTGCAAGTTGCAGGATCCTATGCCAGAAATTGAGGATCAGGAGGAAAGAGATGAAGACCCGAATGAAGAGGGTGTTGAGCAAGGGAGCAACCCCCTCAACCAAAGGCAACTAGGCCTCAGTTGCGAAGATCTGGAAGAGCTTCTATGCCATCAACCAAATATCCCGCTTCTTAGTATATTCTGATTACTAATGAGGAGGAGCCTGAGAGTATTTCAGAAGCAAAGAGTCATATAGAGAAAGATTACTGGATGCAAGCCATGAAAGAGGAGATGAGTTCTTTGCAGAAGAACTGCACTTATGAGCTTGTTTCACTTCCAAAAGGAAGGAAGGCAATCAAAAACAAATGGGTGTACAAATTGAAGAAAGATGGCTATAGTAAAATACTGTAGCATAAAGCTCGCTTGGTGGTCAAAGGTTTTGGACAGAAGGAGGGAATTGATTTTGATGAGATCTTCTCCCCAGTTACGAAGATGACTTCCATTCGAGTAGCTCTGGGATTAGCAGTTCGCTTGAATCTGGAGGTAGAATAGATGGATGTCAGGACTGTCTTTCTCCATGGTGATTTAGAGAAATAGATCTATATGGAGCAACCATAAGGATTTGACGTTAAAAGGAAACAGAATCTAGTCTGCAAACTGAAGAAAAGTCTCTTTGGCCTGAAGCAGGCGCCGAGACAATAGTACAAGAAGTTTGATTCATTCATGGTGGATCACGAGTAGATAAGAACGGTAGCAGACCAGTGTGTATATTTCTGAAGGTTTTCGGATAGAAACTTCATCATCCTACTGTTGTATGTCAACAATATACTGATCATCGGACAGGATATTACTATGATCAACAAGTTGGAAAAGGACTTGTCGCAGTATTTTTGGGCATGAAGATTGTTCGTGACAGGAAAGCCAAAAAGATATGGCTGTCACAAGAGAAATATGTTGAATGGGTGATTAAAAGGTTCAACATGAAAGATGCCAAGCCAGTCAGCACACCACTGGCCAACCATTTCAAGGTGACAAAACGTTCGTGTCCCACGACCAGCTCTGAAAAAAAAGAAATGGAGGCAATCCCTTATTCTTCCACAGTAGGGAGTTTGATGTATGCAATGGTGTGTACCTGGCCAAATATAGCTCACACAGTTGGTGTTGTGAGCAGATTCCTTGCCAATCCAAGAAAAGAGCATTGAGAGGTGGTCAAATGGATTCTTCGGTACTTGAAGGGAACTTCAAAGATGTGTCTATGTTTTGGGGGAGCTGAACCAATTTTGGAGGGTTTTATAGATGCCGATATGGCGGGTGATCTTGATGGTATAAAGTCTACATCAGGATTTCTGTTCACCTTTGCAGGGAGAGTTGTTTCATGGTAGTCCAAACTACAAAAGTGTGCTACTTTATCTACAATAGATGCAGAGTATATTGCTGCCGCAGATGTTGGAAAGGAAATGTTGTGGTTAAAGCTGTTTCTCTAAGAATTGAGTCTACAGCAGGAAGAACACAAGGTACATTGTGATAGTCAGAGTGCAATTGATCTGAACAAGAATTCCATGTACCATTCCCGCATAAAGCACATTGATGTCTAGTATCATTGGATACGAGAAGTGATGGAAAAGCAACTAATGAAGGTAGTGAAGATTCACACGGACAAGAATCCTTCTAACATGATGACCAAGGTTGTCACCAGAGACAAACTGGAAGTTTGCAAGAATCTGACCGGGATGGACCTCAAGTAAGAAGTCAGTTATCCATATGGGCGTGGAGGGGGAGAATTGTTAACTCCAACCCACATGGAGTAGTTGGAGGTTGGAGGATGGAGGTTGGGTCTACAAGTCAAGAAGTAGGAGGGAGATAGCAGGTGAGCCAACCCAATAACTCCTTTTGCTTGACTTTGTTCCCTCTCTTTTATGTATAAATAGAGGCTGAGAGGAAGAGAAGAAACATACAGACAAAGGCAACACAGAGTGTATGTATTTGTGAGTGAGAGTACTATAGAGAGAAAGAGAGAGTGAGCTGTGAGTGGTGTCAACTCCCTCTGGGAAATTCTATAATGGATATCTCTCCCGTGGATGTAGGCAATTGCCGAACCATGTAAATCTCTTGTGTTATTGTGTGTGATTGATTTTTGGTGTGCCTTGATCCTAACAAACATAAGGAAATAGGCAATTGTTGGAAAAGGAAAAACGAAACATAATATGTAGTAGTGTTTATATATGCAAATCAACAAGAAGTGCTACTGATTTGTTTCCAATGATAAAAATTGTGTGTTTTGATGTTAGACAACAAAGATTACAAAAAAAAAAAAAGATGAAGTAAAATCAAATTTGGAGTTATGAAAAATGGCTCATTTGTGACAAAAACTCAGATTGTTATTGTGAGCTATTAATTCTCTGATTGGTATATCTCAAATGGTTGCCAGACTCAACCCAAATGGATAAAAGAAAACCTTGAAACAGTTTTCTCTGATTGGTATATCGCAAATAGTTGCCAGACTCAACCCAAATGGATAAAAGAAAACCTTGAAACAGTTTTCTCTGATTGGTATATCGCAAATAGTTGCCAGACTCAACCCAAATGGATAAAAGAAAACCTTGAAACAGTTTTCTCTGATTGGTATATCGCAAATAGTTGCCAGACTCAACCCAAATGGATAAAAGCAAACTTTGAAATAGTTAAAATTGGGGAATTTTTGGTTTCTACAAATCAAGTCCCAAATCAACTATGAAATCCATCTATATCTTTAAGAGAGAACCACTATGAAACTCAAAGACAACAATGCATATAAAAGAATCTACAAATCAAAGCCCCAAATAAAAAACCCTAACTTTTCAATCTAGAATTCAATTTCTCAACTTGCTTTCATTCTTTCAATAGCGAGTTTGGAGGACGAACCTGGTTTAATCTATGGCGTGAGAGAGCTCCGGCGGACAACAATGGCAGAGGACCGTCGTTCTTCTCAAAAGATTTCTTCTTCTCTCATTTCATTTTGCACTTGTTTCATCTTTCTCTCTTCGCTGAGGACAGCGGAGAACTCGCCGGTGATGGTGGTTGTGCATCTCTCTCTGTGTCTCCGAACTGCGTCTCCCTTCTCTCTCTCCCTCCCTCTCTCAATTGCCTTCGAACTGTAAAACAAAAAATTCTATTTAGTTTTAAAATTATGATGTGAGGGTAGAAATATGATTTAAATGTAGGGTTGTAAGTTAAGTTTTAAAGAGAAAAAAAAAATTATTTAGTTACGAATTTTGAAAAAAGTTCTTGAATTTTAAATTTTGAAAAAAATTCTTGAATTTTAAATTTTGAAAATAATTTTGAGTTTTAAAAAGAGTTTTCAGCTATATTTTAAGTTTTGAGTTTTTGAATTTTGAGTTGTATTTTAAAAGTTTTGAAATTTATTTTTTTAAAATATTTATAAATGTTTAAGAAAATTTTATTTATTTTTTGTTTTAAATTTATAATTGTTATTTAAACATTTTTTAATTTTAAATATTTTATTTTATTTTGTAAATATTTTAATTTTTTAATAGTTTAAACTCAAAATATAACTCCACACTCAAATCGTAACCAACCACAAAATGTCAAAAATTCAAAAAATTATCTTCAAACTCATAACCAAACACATAACTCCAGAACTCCACGCTACTTTCAAAACTAACACTTAAATTGGTAACCAACACATAAACTAAAAACATTAAATTATTTAAAATAAAAATAAAAAAAAATTATATTTAAAATAAAAAATAAATTTTTAATTTTTTTTAAATATTATAAAATTATTAAATAATTTAAAAATACAAACACACAATGTAATGAAATACAATGCCACATTAAATAAATAAATAAATATTTAAAATATAGAATATTTACCCTAAAAAAATTAGGAAATTTTTTTAATATTTAAAAAAGTTAAATCCAAAAAATTCAAAAATATCAACTTAAAATCTACTTTCAAACTCATAACTAAATAAATTTTTTCTTTTTGAAACTCAACTAAAAACTCATAACTCAAAGCACGACCCTACACTCTAATCAAGATTCTAGAAATAATTTTAAAAAAATAAAACAAATAAATATGTTTTTGAATTTTTTTTTTTTGTAATAAGAGTTTTGAAAGAGTTTGGTTTTGAGTTTTGAAAATAGTTTTTTTGAAATGAGTTTAATATGTTTTTGAATTATGTGTTTGGTTATGAAATTTTTGAAGATTTTTTTATTAGAATCACAATTCCAAAACAAAACCAAACACTGGATTTTTTTTTTTTGGGGTCCTTCCACCAAAATGGGTGTCGTTTTGGATCACTCTAGTGGGGACAAGTGTCGCAATCTAGAGATCATTGTAGAGGATCCGAACGTGAAAAGCACCATGTAAGAAATGAGTATTTCGTATGTAATGTGCCTAGATCTGCTTTTTTTTTTTCTTTTTTGTTTGGGACAAATTACTCGAAGTCCCTATTTGAAAAAGGAAAAGCCTGTTAGTCCACAATCCTTTTGGATACTCTCAAAGTCTACTATGCATTTTCTTCTTTGTTCTTCTTTGCGCCCTTCAATTTTTCTCTACCTTTTCTCTTCCTGCGATTCGAAAACAACGCCTTACTTCTTCTCTTTCAACTTTCTGATATATAATCATCATGCGACCAACAATCATGATTGGTTGGGGTTCACCGACAACCACCGACCACGGATTCTTTACTTCAACCTCACTGAGGCGAAAGAGACGAGTTTCCTGTGAAGAATGAGTAGATCTACCTAAATCTGATATAGATCTACTCAGATCTGATGTAGATTTAAACCAAAAAATAGTTTTCGGAAGTACAATATTCTCTATATATGTTTCTCTCATTCCAATCTCTTAATTTTTCTTTACTTTTTTCTCTGTTACACACTTCTATTTTCCTATTTTAAATGGAGAAAATTTTCAAAATTCTGTAATAAGTTGTTTTCAAAAGTTTTATTTACAGGAAGTGAAAACTATAAAATTTTATAGTTTAAATATTTTTTGTTGCGGAAATGAATTATGCTTTAAAACTATAAATTTTTCAATTTCATAACATTCTTTTAAAATGGTAAATTTACAATTTCATAATAGTTCTTTAGAACTGTAAAATTTTATAGTTTTATAACATATTTTTTAGTTTGATTAATAAGTATAAATACTTAAATAGAATCATGCTTTAAACTGTAACATTTTACAATTTCAAAACTTATTTTTCAGTTTGATCAATATTTGGAGATTATTTGTTTAAACCTACAAAAAATTTTGAAAAATAATACATGTTTTTTTTTTTCTTCCATTGTTGATGTTTGTTGTATATATGTATTTTTTTTCCCTTTCAGTTTATCAATATTTAGCACATTTTACTATTTTTTTACTCTAAATTTTTCTATTTTTTTTTCTCAGCAATATTCTATGACATTTCGGTGAATCTTCGCGATGTTTTTGACGTCTAGCGTAACGTTTTTAGACATTCTAATGACTTCAGTGACGATTCAAAACATTTCAGGGATACTCCAGCAAACTTCTAGTGATACTTCGGCGACTTCTGGTGATGTTGAACATTCCAGCAATTCTGACGACGTTTGACGAAGTCGGCGATGGTGGATGTAGGCAGTTGTTTTTAAATTTAAAAAAAAAAGAATTTTTTGGTAACATTTAAAAAATATATAGGATTAACTGGTGCAAGTGTTTTGTTTTGGGATTAAATGGATTTTGAATTTGGTGTATGAGACTTATTGGTAAGTGCTCTTTTTTTTTTTTTTCTTAGATGGGCTGGATCTATTTGATATCGATTAGTATTAGATTATAGGGTTAATTACACTTTTTATCCCTACAGTTTGATCTAAATTTTTATTAGTCCCTATAGTTTCAAATTGAACAATTTGATCTCTAGGCTTTAAATTCAGTTTCAATTTGATCTTCCTATCCAAATTAGAGGTTAAATTTAACAATTTCAGGACACTTGTCAATTTTTTAATATGTACACATAGATAAAATTAACAAAAATATAGAGGGAATAACTGAATTGAAATTGAACGTAAGGACTAAATTGTTCAAATTGAAACTAAATAGACTATAGTGAAATTTTGATCAAACTACAAGGGTGAAAAAAGTAATTAGCCCTAGATTATAATGCTACATCTCCATAATTTTTATTAGGAACATTTAGATTAATTTTTTACTAGCATAAAATTCATGTTATGCACGGTCTTAAATAGATGACAAAAAAAAAAAAAAGAAGTAAATTTGAAAAAAAAAAAAAAAGAAAGTAAATTTGAAATTAAATAATAACAATAATATTTTTTGAATGTACAAACAAAACTTAGAATAAAATAATTCTAATTGTGTTCATTACAACTACATTTAAGATTGTTTGCACGGTTGATTTAAGTTCAATCATTGTGGTTGGGAGGAAAAATCTCTTTAGGGTATTTTAGAAGCGTGCTAACTTGTAACCTAGTAATTCTCATCTTTGTTATGCTCACGTGTACTTGTGTATTTGGAACGGGAAAAAGGACGAGATGTGTATGTGTTTATTAGGCATTCCAAACTCATGCCGTTTCATGCCATGTAAAGACGAGTTTTTCGAGAAAGAAGTCCCGACAGAGAGTTATGAAGAGTTTGGCTACCGTAGACGACAAACCTAGTTATTTTTGCAAACTCTTGACAAACTCTGATTTTTTTAATATTTATTAATTTAGCAAACAATGATCTGTAATGTAACGTCCCCAATTTCGGAGATTCGAATACTAAGTATAAATAACAATAACTAAAGGAAAGACAAGAATAAACCATAATTCCCCTCCGCATATTCATAAGGATAATGTCATACAATACATGAGTTGGGTTTCATTATATTCATCATCTATGTGAAGTGGATATACAATAAGTAAATCAAAGCACATCATTATTGAATACATATTTAAATGACCCAATGCTTACATGTAATGTATTTATTATTTTATTTTAATTTTTGTAATATTATATGTCACGCTCCGATATTTATAACTTATTTTATAATTACAAATCCATTATTGTTATCCAATTTCATAATATAAGTGTGATTAAAGAAAAATAAAATACAACATCTTGTAAAACAAAAATACATCTCTTTTTCATAAATTAAGGTTCCATGAAAATTAAGAAGCCACTACATATTTTCCATCATATATATTTTCTTCATGTTATGAAATCAAATTTTGAATGCATCAATAATGGCTATCAAAATCTCTCTCACAGATTAGTAGGATCAAAGACTCATTCACCCAAAATTTTTTTTTTTTTTTTATAGGAAATCTAGACTATGAGAAAAGGATATGATTAACTGGATAGAAAAGAAAGTGACTAATGTAAAAGAAGTACGTCATGTCAAATGACTTTGTTTTCAATAGAAGCACACCTTCCATCATTTTCTTGTAAGGCCTGAACCAGACTCGAGCCACTTTAAAGGCTTCACAAACCTCAGCCACATGTACTTCCTTTAGACTCGTATGAAAAGATTCTTTATTCAAAACATAAATTTGAACTTGTAAAATCATTGGAGATCAAGAGAAAACATTGAAATATAACTTCATATAATTTAAGAACAACAAAAATAAGATCGAAATGGTGATAATCTAACTATCTTGTTTGTTCTTCATTCTAGTCATCTTAACTCAACCTAGGTGAAGCAAGTAGTTTAATTAGGCTAATAAATATTAAGTACTACCCATGATCAGTTAGCCCTAACTAATTATGCTCAGTACTTAATCATTTGATTAATGAGTTCTTTTCATTAATCAATCAATAAAGATTAAGAGAAGAATATAGAAGCACGTAGAAAAAGAGTGAGAGCTCTAGAGTTTAATTAATCATGATTAGTCCTTCCTTAGGAAAAACAAGATTTCCCGAGAATCTATGACCTTCAGATTCACTATCACCCAGGAAAGGCCAATACAGTTGCCAATGCATTAAGCAAAAAATCAACGGGGAACTTAGCTTGTAACACCCTCAAAAATAAACCCATCATAACATATATTCACGATAAATAGAAGAGATTTCATATTACAATCATCAGAGTATTCTTACAAAAGGTATTACATGTTGACAACAAAAGTAAATGCCCTATAGGCTTACAACTTTCCAAGTCAACACTTGGTTACAAAAA